ATAAAGGTGAACTTTTAATACGTAATCTGCTGATTGAATATAAATATCGTTAACGAAGCGGTGACAGAGTGTGGTCCTGGCTTTGTTGTAAGTATGTTACAAAAGCTACGGACAGGAACTGATAATGTAGGGTTGCTAGAAGTCATTCATGGAAAGAAAGAGGTGTTACAACTTGTTAGTGAATATATAGAGTGTTGAGACAAAGGTGGAACACTTTCACAGAGTGCATTCTATGTGCGAAACTAAAACGAAATTGTATTCGAGGCTTTGTTTCCGATTTATTAATGGTTGAAAATACGGGTAAAATACATGTGAAATACATCTGGCGCGATGAGTGATAGAGTAAATGCACCAATGAATGAACACTTGAGAGATTTTGTAACTATTATTAAAGACAAATTTAAAATGATAATAATATTTATAAACATTTGGCACATGAAAATTATATTTTTTTTAAATGTATACCTTTTTGTAACGTATAGATTTCAATTTTAAAAATTAGAAAAATGTAACTGATAAAATTGAAAAGATAATACAGATTCACAATGAATGAACATTAACCTGCGAAAGAACATTTACGACCAAAGACGCGAAAATTATTTGAATATGACACAAGGAATTAAAAAGGAAACAATATTTAATTACTTGTTTATTTAATAGCTAAATTTATTCGTTGTTCTATATAAGGTTCATTCATTGGTAAGTGTTCATTTACTGGTGCATCCACCCTACTACTTAGAGTAGTCGATTCCCACCTGACACACGGGCTTGATCAATGACCTAGTTCAATTTAACGAATGAAATAAAATGGAACGAATGAAACCGACTCGTGAAACAGTTGAAGGGCGCGCCTCTCAAGTAGTATCACCCATCGCGTCAGACATATTACATACATATATCGTGCTTAATTTTCAAAAATTAATCACTTGAAAATGAAGCCTCGAACGCAATTTCGTCATTCTTGATTTTCGTCTCAGTCTGGCACATAGAATACACCCGGTGTGCCACATTTTCATGAACACCCTGTATAACTCGGGGAAGATCCTTCGAGAGTTTCTGAGACAATACCGCCTCGATATTACTAGTTGACGCGTCTCAGAATATATCAACCCCCCCCCCCCTTATCTCACCGTCCAATTACAATGTTCCAATACATTATATCCCCGTGTAAGCTGTTTTCGGAGACTACCGGCACACCACGAGATGGAAAACGCGTTTACGGTTTAATCCGGGACTTAATATAAGCCGTTGACCGGCTCCGCCAGTGATTTCGTTAGCCCGATAAGCTGATCGTGCCAGCGCGTTGAGACGTCCGCCAGAAGCGAGCGGATGGATCCTCGAATAGATTTTCCTGCTCTATCCTGCAACGCAGATTAGGTCAGGGACCAGAGAAACGGGTTAGACTGCGAACGGGCGACTGTATATCGCGGGCTGTACCGCGAGTGATGAGATGATTGGCCCACTAATGAAACCTGATAGAGAACCTCGCTTCGACTGCCTCGTTGCGGATTATTCTGTCTCGGTACGCGGAGTGTGGATCGTGTCGACGATACCATACGCTTCCGTTCACGAACCTTTTCGTTTTGTGTATCGTTGTTAATGGTGCTTTAACAACGTCGAATATTATATGACAATGAAGGTTTTGTTATTTTACCATTGAAACTTAAGATGTATTCAGATGGACAGTGTATGGGTACGTAAAGGTCACGGGGTACTCACAGAAACAGATAGAGGGCGACCCTGGACTCATGGATGCAGATACTGAATTACCTAATGTTAGTGGATGCTGTTACATGACAGTCCGGTATCTCTTGAGAGAAGCATTTTATTCGGGTTTTATGGACGTGCGACAATTCGAAGAAAAGTATGAAGTTTTATGAGAAGACTGAAGACAGCCTAGAATTTGATGATTTATTACAGTGGTACACTGGTTTTGTTTTATATCGTGTTCATTGGATACAATTTATATTAAATCTCTCATATCTGACACTGTCTGTGCCTGGTCTCCAGGGTTTGACATAGTCTTTACTAGATTGTTTCGAAGTGTCTACCCATGTGAAGTGTAGGTCATACTACGTTGTGTGACATAATTGTAAAATCACCATAAAATTTTCAATTCTGATGTATTGTGGTTCAAGTAAAAACGAACTAAGTATGTCATGTCTGAAATCGTGTTGAGAAATAATATTTCTTCAGAAAAGAATAGATTATATTCTCTAGAAAAAAGTGGTTCGTTTTTACTTTAACCATAATATATAAGGATTGAAATTTTGAACGTGGTTTTATACTGATGACACGCAGTGTACGTCTGTTTTCATGCAAACTATTTTTTCTTCGATATTTACGTATAGACGGTTACTATACTGTGCATCTAATAATTAATAACACTGAATACGTTTCACGTTTTCCTACTAACATAAAAATAAGAAGTTAATAGAAGATACAAAATAACAATTCATTGATAAAATCAGTAGCAAAGTATTGTTTGTGCCATTGTGCCAGTTATCAAGAAAAATTACAATCTTACCATATAAATAGGAAACCGTAAACAGATGCAACGATAGTCACGAGCGTCGGGCGATATATTTTCGGTATCACACTTCTCCGAACCAGGTTCAGAGTGACAGATCGCGCAAAAAATGGCAACCTTCGAAGTGTAGGAGGAGAAATTGATCGTGAAAGAAAAATCGCGTTTGTTTCCCCGGTTACGCTGGATTTCCGGTGGCTATTCTGTGAAACGTTTTCACGGTACATTGTCCCTAATGGCGGCGGGTCCGTGCAATTTCGAAGCAGCTTCACGTGATTTTCACGCCGACCGTATTCGTATATTTCCCAGGATATACTTTCCTTGCATATGTTTTCCTTTACTGCTGTTGGAACTATCATTCCAGATTTGCTTTAGAAGATTTCACAAATTTGCATCCCTTTATACTTATCTTTGCATACATTTGTTTTTTAATCCATCTGGCTGTTTAAAGAAATATTTTAAATCACACTTACTGTGTCCAAAGTAATATTTCGTGGTTAGTGAAACTTAAAGGAAACTGGCTGTTTCTACTTATTGCTGTCCCCAGAAGATTATGAGAATATGAAAATTTATATAAACACTTACTAGATTGGAGATAATCGCACAGAAATATTAAAATAAAAGACTCGAATTATAAATACCACGTTTTCAATGGAGTTACGATCTTTGATCTTGAAAACAGGTTACACTTAATCTGAGAAGAGGACTCATAATGGAACTCTTTTTAAGATCTACGTTTAAATCAAGTACTTCTGAAGAAAATGTACATACTACCAAATCCTGCAACATGTACACTTTCGCCAATAGAATGTGTATCCTTTCTACTGTCTTACTATCCTATTAATATAAAAAACTGACAACTACAGCTATGCAAAACGTACCAACAATTTCCATATTAATCTTCAATTACTCGCATGGGGACATTATAAGTATAGCTTCCCAATTAGATCTTTTTTATGAGATTCTGGTAATGGCTGACACCATGCGACTAGTTACGCCAAGAAGCATATATTGGGATCCTACAAGACCATATTCGATTAATCTTGCACAGAGCGGGGTGCGAGTAATTAAAGATTAATTCCACGATATAAAGGCATCGATTTTAAACACGTCAATAAAATATCCACTAGTCGATAAAACCCATAACCGTTACGATCAATTAATTTCGAAACCACTCAACACCGTCTACCGTTTTTCCCCGATATTTTTTCGCCTCCCCTCGCGGGTACACTTCACCCGCACGGTCACCGCGCTCCTCCCTTTTTTCCATGAAACTTTTCTGGTTTTCACCGGAGGGGATCACAGAGAAAAGAGCGATACAGAGATAGATAGAGAGAGAAAGAGAGGCAACAGCCGTTTGAACATCAACAGCTGCATCGCAGCCCGCCCCAGCTAGCCGCCTCTATTTGCTCCTCTCGCATTCTTCGTGGAATAGTTTGGTCTCGCCGCGGATATACACCGACTACGCCCAGAGAAACGAAAGAGATTAAGAATATCTTTTGGGGGGCTTCGGAGGCGGTCGAACCGCCGCGAAGCGTTTCCCGCCGATGTGCCCGACGAGACGGTTCGAGCACCACTGGTGGAACGAGAAAAAATACCCGTTGTTCGACCTTTGAACCCGAGCCGCGTTCTCGACCGAGTGGAACGCTGGGAGGGTGGGCCAAAGATCGGGAACAGCTCTGGAATTATAAATTTCCTCGAGATAAGGGAAACCGAGTTTCGAAGTCTGGAAGGAGAGTTCGACAAAAAAGAGACACACAAGTGTGATGGAAAGAATGGAACTGTATGAACCACGAAAAAATAGCGACACGATCTTCACTGATTTTGGGTTCGGAACAATTTCTAGTTATGATGTAGTTCGCAGATATGCCCGTAGGGAAACGAAACCAGAAACTCGATGTAAGACATTTCGGTTCCATGGTACCCGAGGACTTCCTATGGGGAAACCAGTCTCGTAAACTTGGCTAGTGTAGGAGATACTTCGCTGCGGAGTCTACTCGCGGGAAAGGCCAAATTGGGCACCTATGGACGTAAAACAACGACCAGGTTGTGGTTTCGTCGTAAAAGGATCGAATTTTCCGAGCTTGGATGTTATGGTTCTTGGTCTTCAAGCTTCTAATTTCATTGTACGAAAATATTCTTCGTCTTCTGTTTTATCATTTACAACCTTCCAAAATGGCAACTCCTTTCCTAGAAAATTAATACCACGGGATGAAAGCGCACCTTCAATAATAATTATCGTTTTCATAGATTATCCCGCCGTCGTTCCAGATTAATTTCTGATCCACCGTCGGGGGAGTATCGCCGCAGTTTCGAGTGGGAGGGGGGAACTCTAGCCCAGGAATTATCGTGGTTGGAGATATCGTATCCACAGATAATACCTCGCAGCTTTCGTGGATCCAGGATGAAAGGTATTTGGTAATTGGCAGATCCAGGGATCGAATAGAAAACGTAGACCGATGTACGTGGAAATAGTACTCCTTTAATAATACCTGACGAAGCAAATATATATAAATTCTATGATACATCCGCGGTTTTCCAGTCGTTTAAATAAAAACTCATCTTTCGACCATTGTCGTCCGTTCAGCCATACTCCGCGCGCGAACTAGAAAAAGATACAACAAAACCGGGGCGGAAACGTTACTCCGCGTTCAATTTTCCTATCTTTATACAACGCTTAAAAATAGTCCCGCGAGAGAACCCGACGGTCCTGGTTCCTCCTCAGCAATATTCATCCACGGTAGTACGTCACCACACCGCACGCTTGGTCAGCAAGCACGAATTAGGAAATATGCAAGAACCACGAGAGAACATCCTTTCAGTTTTCGCTCTCGACACGCACGCACACACATTATATCACAGACAATCGGCATTGGGCGTCGTTACACCCTCGCCATGTTCACGGAATCTTGGTCGGGTTTGGTTGGCAGCGGCCTGTTCGCCATTTTGCACGCTGGGGTCAAGGTTTGGGGTTCAGGTAGTTCCGAGTAGAGGTGGGTTGTCGCGTCGGACGGTTCCGCGTACTCGCAGAGCAGCGAATTTGGCCTCTTGTTGTTGCCAGTCTTCGAGCCACCTAGGATACTCTCGCCGAGAGCCTTCAGGAAGCTCATCGGCCTGCCTTGGTTTCGAATCGGTTCGAATTTCGGGCTGTCCGGTGGCCTGTGGTTCTCGGTCGTCGGAGTGCTGTACGTTTGGCTCGAATGACCGTTTATCAGATGATCGTTGACGACATCCGGTGGCAGTGGTTGCGGCGCTCGTCCCGCTAGGGTAGCTAATATCGGTTGGGACAGTCTGCTGGTGCTGGGTACCGTCTCGTCACCGGGTAGCTCCGCGTAGAGATGATTCTGTTCGTTCGTTCTTTGGTCCCTGGGCTCCGTGTACTCGGTCAACGGTGGCCTGGGTTGTATACCACCTGGCAGTAGTTTCTCTAACGATGGCACTTTGGTGCCCACGCTGACGGTGGGCTTGGGCGGGCCCTTTCTTCTTTGCTTCGGTCGGATCACGTCGTACGCGTTTTCCTCCCTGTCGGACGGTTGCCTGTCATTATTATTGTTGCAGCTCTCCTCTACTTTTATCAGATCGTAGAGGTGCTCTATCATGTCTCTGGCTTGGTTATAATTATCAGGATCGTTCAGCCTTTCTCTGAGATCCCTCAGGTATTCCTCTGTTAGCTCTTCCGGTAAGGTCTGCGTGGCCTTGGTCTCGGTGTATGGATAGAGTCCCTCGGCGTCTTCTTCTTCGTCCTCTGTTGCCTCCGGCTGCGTTTCTACCTCTAGGATTCTGGTCTCGGGTTGAAGACCAGCGTACTCGTGTACGCTCAGTCTTGATATCGACCTAGCTGACGTAGCAGCTGTCATTCCGCTACTGGGTGAGAACAAGCTGGCGAGATTCATTAAGTGACCGGACGTTAACTTTGGACAAACACCGTTGCGACGCATGTAGAGGATACCCGAGGCAAGAATGACAACGAGGACTGTGAACACCGCCACCACGCAGATCACCACGATGATCCGTTTCTCTCGTTGCAACTGGTCCGAGTCGCTCATCTCTAGGTCGAAGTAACCCTTGTGCCTAGGGTACACGTGAGGGCCGACACTGGGCGGACTGACACTCGGTTCCGGCTTGGCGGACGGTTTCTCGCAGTAGATGTGGTCGCCAGGCATGCAGATCACCTTCGTAAAGTTCCTCATGGACATGTAACCCTGGGGCAAGTTGAAACACTTGTCCAGAAGTTGATCGACCACGCAGTAACTGGAATCCATCATCCACGAAACCGAGCTGTTCTTCCCGGTCACCTCGCGGATCCACTTGTCCAGGGTGCATCGGCATTTCTCTTTGAAATAATTGTTGCCCACGCGTGCGGTGTTCACGCGTTGCGAGATCGCGGCGAATTTCAGGGAGCCTGGCCTAGCTTTGTGTATGTGATTCCCCGTGAAGGAGAACTCGAAGTTTGGGGCTGAAGTCGCTTCCACCTCTGCCGTGATCGCGTCAGTGTTTAGGTCCACGAAGAGATTGTAATCGATCGCTATGTGGTTCCATTGATGCAGCACGATCGCTCCCTGCTGGAGGTTCTGGAACTCGTTGTTGTTGAAGCTAACCGTCGCTGCGGATATGTCGATGGCGCCAGTCTCCACTTCGGAGAGCCTGCAGAAGTAAAGTGTTAGTGTCTGATTGAACCGAAGGTAGTCGAAAAATGAGAACGTCGCAGGGAGTTCGATCGAAGAGGAAGATAACTGCGTGTGTATGTGTACGCTCGTTCCTGTGGTATTTAATTAGGTGTATCTCGGCGTATGATTAACCGTTTACTCTCATATCCGGGGCCTCTCGCGGTAATGTATTGTAATAAGTAGCTGTATAATACGGCGGCGGGTCTTCAATTTGTGAGCCATTAACGACTGGATGCAATACAGTTTATGATGAAGAATTTTATTGGTTAACATTGGTTCTGAAACATATTGCTGTATAGTTAGTAGTATAATACTCTGTTTTGATTGTGTTCTTCTCAATCTCCTCAATGAAAATATTATATGACTGTCCCCACAGTCAAAATAAAATGTAATTGTTATTCATTATAAGTCAAGGTATCCTAATCGAAGAAATGCAATTTAAAAAATTAAGGCAGATAAAGCTAAAAATAAGTAGGACCACATACTGGGAATAGCTCTACTATCAGACATCGGCCAGATGATCTTCTACCGACTTTAGGATTCGGTCATTGCTATGTCCGATGCCTACATTAGTAACATACATGTTCAATTCTGTCGTAATAATATACGTGTATGTGTATTTGTCCTGAATTCTTGATCAGTATAAGTCAGCCTATGTTGCGCTTTAATTATTATTCTATTTAACTAATATTACTCAAAGGTCATGTACGCGTACATGCCAAAAGTGTCCTCTTACTGCATTGTTCAAAGTAGTGATCGTGTAAAAGCAATACAATTTGAACAATTTGTACATCTATACAGGACGAGTCAGCTAACGTTGGGACCTCGAAAATCTTTGTTGTTTCTAAAAGTATGTTAAATGTCTTAAGGACAAAGTTCTATGGTTCAGTGGGGTACATATAATGCCACAAAAATGATTGTTTTCGCGACGTTTCTTTTTTTTAGAGATATCAAAGTCATTTTCAGACACCTGCAATGATAGTCGATTTATTAGGAATTCAGTGACTATAGTTAGTCAGGGTCATAGCTGTTCAGAGGCAAAAGCGACTAACTCCATTTTCTGAACTTTTTCGAATTCTAGTGCCGAAACACTTGATTGGTGCTTAACTTTGTACATTTAAAATTAATTTCTTTAATCATTTTTGTGTACTCAATCACTTTGGCGAATGATGGGCTCGTATACTAAACGACTTATCATGATAATCAACGCAAGAATGTCGACCCAGGACTGCAGTAATGAAAATTCAAACTCACTGAAGAAAAACGCAGCTAAACATGTTGTCTCACCTCGAATATTGAATGGTGAGGTTGTCGTGACCAGCCCGGAACGCTCCCCTTTCGATGCTCTGCAGCCTGACGTCGACGAATTCCAGCCTCTGGATCAGGGCTCTGTCGCTGAAAGCGCCGGTCTCGATCTCCAAAATGGACGCGTTGCTGATGGTCACGCTGTAGATCGTCATGGCGCAGAACGCGTCCTTCCGTATCACTTTGGTCCAAATGTCGTCCATTCGAACCTCTGCGATCGCAGACGGAAACACCGCTGTCGGCAGCTCTGTGATTCTCACGCTTTGGAACATAATCTGCGCAAGGGATACAATCAGAGATCGAGATTATACGCGGAAATATCTCCAGGTGGAGTTGGCGTTGCGATTGGAGTGTCGCCAACGCACGTAGACGCACCAACGAGCGGTTATCGCGAGATCGTTCCCCCGATGGATTGGCATGTGGCTACGCCAAACGGGGCAAATAAACACGAAAACGATCTAACCACGGCTTTTTATAAACGTGACTCTACGCGAATTTCGCAACGCCAGAACCAGCTGAAAACCTCGATCATCGCTTTGACTCCGTTTCCATAAATGAATTTTATCATGTTGGAGAGAGTTTATTCGTTCTGCAATTTTTAAGCGGTACCGGGTGAAAATACAGTTTTCACGAACGTAAATTTTGTAAATTGTCGAGCCGGGTACCGTGGCGCAAGTTTTTCTCTTTTTTTTTTGCTTTGAATTGGTACATTGGATAAATTGAAAATTCACGATTGTAAACGGACGCTGTGTAGGTACATCTGACACTGTAATATTCGCGTTTTGGTGGAATACGCAAATTTTTTGGGGGAAAAATCAAGTGAAATATTTGGAACTGCGAACGACGGAATTTGAATATGCGAGTGACGACGAATGGAGGAACGCGCGGATGCCACGACACTGTTTTGGGAGCTACGGAACTTTAATTAACGCTACGTATTTATTTTATGTAAATTTATACAAATATTGATTTATAGATGGAATAGAATCTTTGATTTAAACTCAAAATATGGGCTAAACAATATGGAAAAGGTGTTCTACATAAACATTGATCTAAAAATATTGTCTCCTTGAATAAAGTATCAGTATATAAAGACTGTCTACGCAAACTAGATAAACAAGTGATATCGGCACACTCGCATTCTGATTATTAAATAGTACAAAATAATAAAGGAAGTTTCATCTGTATTTAATAATTCGTATGACAAATGCCACGTTTTTATTAAAATAAGTAATTCTGAACAATTCTTTTAATAAAGAATAATAAAATACTGTTATGAAGACTGTCTAACAGAGAATGGAAGGAAGAAGAGATTATACTACTGCAGTAAATGGTTGTAAGAGGTTTTCCAAGTCGACTGTTTCTCTAACCCAAATACAGGTAAGATACGGCATCCAGCAGTTGTTCTCGCCCCACTGGATAATTTAATCCTCTACAACCCCATTTTATTTGAGAAGACATTTTCCGTAACAGAACAAACAAGTAAATACTCGACGTTAGGTATAAATTATAAATGTCTTCTTATAAGCAAGCTCCCTCTGAAATGTCCACTGAAGGACAGATTTACTGCACTTCAGTAAATGTGTAACTGAATACAAGATGAACAATCCAGATTATCCGAGTTAAGAAAAATCTGAATTGTCTCTTAGAAGAATCATTGCAGAGTAACATTATAATAATGTTGGGAAAAAGAAATCTTCCACTTGGATCTTTCGCTTTCATGGCGACTGCTTCAACCAATCCATAATATTATTCAATTCTTCTTCTCCTAATTCATGTAAGATATGCTTACATATCTTTATTACTAATCGAATATATATGTACACATACATAGTGTGGTATAATTATAAAACCACCTTAAAGTTTTCAATCCTTATATATTCTGGTTGAAATAAAAAAGAATCACTTTTTTTCTAGAGAATATAATCTCCCCTTTTCTGGAGAAACATTATTTCTCAACACAATTTCAAACATGGCATACTTGGTTCGTTTTTATTTTCATCATAATACATAAGAATTGATAATTTTAAGGTGAGTTCATAGTTATGCCACGTATGTGTATGCCTTCAGTAATAACTAGACTGCGGAAGTTTGTGCAAATTCGCAGTTTTAAATATTAATATATAATAAAAATTGAATCAAATCCTCAGCCAAATACTAAGGATACCTCCTTAGTATAAAATATTATTAAATCTTAACCCTTTACGACCTGAATTATGTTATACTTGAAAACTGTTCAAATATGTTCTTTTTTGTATTTTTTTATTTAAATATCTAAATATAGTGTTTCTGAATACTGGCACAATTCTATAGCATCTCAGAGAACTTCCAAAGAAGTAATAAATACTTATAACTCCTAGTCAGGTTCTAAGCATATTGGTTCATGGCAGTATTCAATGTTTTGTACTACAAAGTACCGTCAGGACATAACGGGTTAACGCGTTTTGAAGGTTGTCGGAAGCCATAAACGCACAAACATCCGCAGTCTGTTGATAAAGTCCGATTCCTGAATGATATCTGACCTTGGTCGCTGGTCCATGTCGGCCGTGTTGAGAAGCTTCGAGCTTGAACGCGTTGCTGGACAGCTCCAGCGTGGGCACCTCCCGAACCGCGATCCACAATAACCGCGAGAATGCGTTCGGCTTGATCCCCACGTGCCTGCACCTGGATATCGAGACGCTCAGCGTCCCCCGTGTGTTTCTGAACGCGTGACTCTCCAGGATCACGCTGTTGCACTCGGAGACCTCGAGATGCGTGTTCGGCGCGCTAAGATTCTGAAAGGCCTGCCTCTTCGCCACCAGACTATAGATCCCGGACACGTGGACCCGTTTCAGGGGCGAGCCATCCGCGAACGCGCCCGACTGGATTCTCAATTCCCTGCAGTGAGAGACCTCCACCTCCATCGCGTCCGATGGAATGGTTCCCTCCAGTAACTCCACGTCCTGTTGACAAAGAAGGGAAATAGAATTGGTTATTTGTGGGTGAGGGGATTATATTCCCTTGAATCGTTCTGGCCTGACGGAGGCGTTGATCGGTGGAAAAGGGTACTTTAATCGCTCTTAGGGTTGTTTGGAAAACGGGGGAAAAGGGATTTGATCTTGGGCCGATGATCGATTGTCGGGGATACGACAGGTAGCTCCGACCTTTTTACTGACTTGCTTCGGGAATTTATGTGGGTACCTGCGGAGGTGAGAAGCTGGACCACAATGGGAGTGAAGAATGTTGTGACTCATAGACAGCGTTTGTGGTATTGTCGGTCTTGTGGTTGGAATACATTCCTTTAGATATTAGGGTGATCTTTTGTGGTGTCATTTTTAGGTTTAATTGTTATTGTGAACTGAACTAAACGGGTTGATGATAAATAGTAAAATATTGGTAATTCGATACTTTACAAGCGGCTGTTGTGGTTTTCGTATTCTGAATTGATCAGTGTATAGGAATCAGATAAGTAAATAACCGTTTCATGTGTAATATAATGGCGTATTCTGTAGTTAATTGGAAATTTTAATTGTACGAAAGAGTTTGAATGACTTTCTTTAGGGTTTGACCTCGATACCTCCAACGTCATAAAATTTCTGTAACTGCTGGTATCTTCTTTCGAATGTACTTTTCTCTCCTTTCCCAATTCTCTAGCAACGAAAGGATCGGAGGTGGAGGAGTTTTAATAGACTCCTGAGAATAATTTTACGGAATAATTCGCGTGTTACGGCTCCGACTGCGGCCAATGATAATTACGTAGTTAAAAATCTCCATAATGAAGCGGAAGTACTTTGCCCCTGTCTCGTTTTAAAATCAACAAGTGAACGCCGATTGGGAGGGATTATTCGATCGTAATTGTGGAGGCAGTTCGGAACAGGAGGAAAGGAAAACGTGACACAGCTTGATACATCGTTGACCAGTTAATGTCCCTAACGATGGTTAATTAATTTTCCCATTGAAAATTCTACATTCGTGACCCAATTTCATTTCTGTGTATTGGAAATCCAGTTTAGCGGAATTAACGTGATTTGTATGGTGTTAACGCATCCGCTGTCGAGTCATGGGCCAATTAAAATTGAATTAAAATTAAATAGAGATTTAGCAATGTCGCGAGTGCGTTAGGAGGGTACAAATACTAAGTGATTTCAACTCTATTTCTTCAAATACAAAATATTTACAATAGACTGGCTAAAAGGTTGATAAACAAGTTATCGTTATTTACACTGTTCATCTATAACCGTATCTACAGTAAATTTGTGCCGGCGATATTCTAAACAAAATTGAACGTATCACTTATTTGGTGTTACACCGATTTATGTGACAATAATATGAAATCATTTATGCAGAATATTTAATTGCAGAACATTTAACATTTTTTTCTCTTCAAAGATAGACTTAAACTGATTTAAAGAAAAATTTCATTTGTACACCATAGAAAATACAGAACAATGAATACTTGGATCCTTATTAAATCCTAATTAATTCCAAATGACCGCTTCATTTTCTTTTCATTAAATTACTACACTATTCTATATACAAATATCCTAACTCATAATGTTTGAAAATATCAGCAGATCCGAGTTTGCGTACTAAATGATGATTGGTGGCACACACACACCGAAGGATGAATCCATAATGAAGCGGAAATCGTTTTGCGCGGTACATCTTCGTGAGAAATGAATCACGGAAACGTTAAAAACACCACGCAATTACACGGGATATCTGTATCGTGCTCCATCAAGGTTACAAGTCTCTACATATTTATTATATAAATGCGTGCGTTGCAACGGGACGCCGGCAATCGATGCCATCCCGGGATTGCCATTCGCCGGGCGCAAAAAGGGTTGCTAACGACGTCAGTGCCGTCTCTTTGCGGTTCCGCGGACTGCTCGCTTCGTACCGACCGAGATTACAGCGGGACAAAAGATCTAGTCTGAAATTCGAATGAGCCGGTAACGCAAGAAATCGAATTTCTCCCTTGGTCCTCGTTAAACAACGAAACGAGCCGATTGTTTTGCCTTTATTCCGTCGTTGCTCTGTTCTCGGGACTAGGTTGAAATTCATTACACGGTGAAATGAATATATTACCGTGCCAGTTTCCATTGATTTGCCATTTCAACAGTTTTACAAATCCTTTCGAATTTCAAGTTTTTAAGAAAAATTACGTACGAATCAGATTATCATTTTAATTGGGAAGAATTTTCTTTCTATTGCCTTTGTAGATTTAGGTAATTCATATTTTAGTATCACTAGTTATTACTTTGACATCGCTAGTTATCACTAGTTGTTGTTGTTGGTATTACTAATTATCACTAGTCATCACTAGTTACCATTAGTTACCATTAGTTGCCATTAGTTATCGAACAAAGTAGGCGTCTACTAAGAATGAGATACAGAAATGACAGGATAAATAAAATGATCATAACTACTACTAAATGGTCATAATTATTAAAGTCAAGTAAGGTTGAACAAGATACAAATTTTGAAATTTAACTCTTAACTGTTTTCGAACACGCTATATTAACACATATTGTGTTCATTTGGTATTGAAGAGGGCCAACGAAAGTGACGAACGTTGATTGAATTAATCCGCTGGTCATTAGCACGCAGACACCGAAACCAGCTTTGTGTTTTCGGTGCCATACTGATCAGGTTCACAGCACGGGATAGAAAGAGATGAAGAGAAAAATTGTTGGCCCACGATGGGTTACCTTTAAAAGTACTTCCGCTGACGTCGGCTTCCTGGCTGTTCCCCGCTATTCGTACGTTTGTCAACGAGCCAGTTTAATGAAATGTTCGAACGCCATGCCAAGCAATAATTCCGACGTTTCCTCTGTACTCTCTTTTTTTTTTTTAATGTTCGAACAAGCCATAGCCGTATACGCGGAATTGCAAAATCGAGAATTGGTTCGGTCGCGAATCATGATCACATTAAGCGTTTCCGGAAGTATTGAACTAGAAGAAAAATGCAACCGATGCAAAAATAACCCATTGAAATAAAAAGGGCAATTAACGGAATTTTTTAAATTTGCAACGTACGTTTTCACGAATTATGACTAGACTGCGGATCTTTATGCTAATATCAATATTTGAAGATTTCTTTATGGAAACTAACAACCAAAAGAAAAGGGGAGAGAGAAGAATTGTTTTACTGCTTTGAAGGTTCTATCTGGTCGTACATAAAATGAAAACCGTACTAAAATGTATTCTTCTTAATTTCTTAAATATACTGAGTATTTTACCTTTTTCCAAGCGCTGAATATTTCAGAACTTTGCTCCGAAAATTCGTATTCCCTTTCCTCGACTAAAAATAGTGGAATTTATTTAGTACATCATTATTAAAACAGCATCTTTGTCCATGCACCATTATTTATACATAACACGCATTTATTTACAAATTATTCTATATTTTGTCCTACATTATAACTAGACTATGAACGTTTATGCATGTTTAGATGCATATGTAAATGTGTAAATTACAGAGAAATACAATTTTTTTGTGGAATTTAACAAAATTCTCAAAAAACAGTTGAATCTCGGTCTAAATCTACGATTCGTGCATACATACAGTGATTCAAAAAAATCTTCATTGCAGTCTTAGATAAAAAAGTTGTAAAAAGCGATATATCCAATTTTGTTCGCGATTCCGACCAATTCTAACTTTTTCCAAATTTTTCTTACACATCATTTAGTAAACTAATCTTTGTAACTTAACAAAAAAAACTCAAGTCACCTGGTCCAATTTTAAAAAAGTTGTTCTGTTTTAAAGCGTCTGAGAAGACTTTTTGACTAACTGTAAATCGTCAACGGCGTGAATTTGCATAAACATTATTTCAACGATCATTTCTAAATAGAATCTCGGAACGATTATTTCAACCACATCGGTATTACACATCCTTCGTGCTAAAAACGCCAAAACACCATCCGAGTCGAAAGCCTTCGCCAGATGACGCCGTGATTTACAAACGCGCCAGCGCGGGACCAATTATTTAATTATTCCTCGCGCACACTTTCCGTGGAAAAAGATCGTATTTCTTTCCGCGGGCTCTGCGGACCCAGCATTACAATGAATCAGGGTCCCCCCACCCCGTTGGTCGTCGTTAGAACCGCTTAGCCGCGTCCCAAATGGATGTTGTGATATCTTACCTACCAGAAATACCCCTCAGATAACGAATTTAGCTCTCGAAAAACGACAGCAGAGGGGAGAGAAAAGAAGTCCAAGGTAAAGGGGCAGTCTTTCCACCGAGAACCAAAGCGAGAGAGAAACTGAACCGAGAATAGCGTGCGACGAGAAGGATAAACAAATTGTCGAGGATTCCTCCGAAAAAGAGGAAGTTCCACGATAAAAATAGTAGAAAGGCCCAGTCGAAGAACCCTATAAAACTTCACCTATACATTCTCTCGAGAACACTCTCAACGGATGGAACGATCGATCGAGTTCCCTTCCCACGGATTTTCGATCATCCACCCATGTAATGCACGCCGTCGAATGGTTTCGAAGCCGACACTTTTCCGCGTCATTTCTCCCTCGCGGTTTGTAGGTCCGCGAGAAACTTCACTCCCTGGTTTCACCGTGGAAAAGGCTCGAGATACGAGGGTATTAAGGGATTAGAGGCATCTTCTCGTTGGACTTACGTCGAGGATCGACGCCTCGACTTTGTCGCTCGACGAAGACTGACGAGGACTCCTCGAAACCGGCTTCACGCATCTCCTGGTTGGCACAATGAACCCTCGTAAAGGTGGAGCTCCCTTTTGTGCATCGTGGACCGCCTACACGTCGTCCAGGACACTCACCTGTCTGTGTCTGTCACTGGAAAAATAGGGTTCTAGATTGCGCCTCTGATTCGTCGAGGTTTTTTTTTTATATTCGGAGGGTTGGATACCTACCCCGCGTTATCGTTCCCATCGCGAGGCTACTTTTCCGTGAATGAAACGTGTAACCACCGGACATGCCACGTTTCCT